CTGTGCCAGGTGACGTCATAGGAGTAGTGACGTCATCAGGTGGTGGTGACGTCATCGGGTAATGTTGATGGAAGACACACGAACGGTTTGTTTTGTTGACGTCATGGAGGAGTGAAGATCGATGACGCACGCGAGTTGAAGATCAAAACAAAGGCGAAGGAATAATTGGGAAGGGAAGAAAAAATAGAAGACTTGATTTAGTATTTTTATCACATATGACTCTAGTGAAATGGACATTGTTTTTTTTTGTGAGTTAAAGACAGGTTGTGTTGCCGTGATGGGGGGATTATGTTGCGGCTTGTGACCCTAAAAGTGTTTAGATAATTCTGAAATTATTTAGAACATTCTGAAAATATTTAGATTATTCTGATTGTTTTTAATCAACATAGAGAATCAAGTTACAGGATTTACTTTTGAAATACGAATAAATATTTGTATTTTTGTTGTGGTTTTAAATTTTGTGGTTTATTACGGACGCTGATCAAATTGTCCGTAAGTGTTAAATAGGCATCAGAATGAGACATCTTGTACAGGGTCCGTTAGATGTGAAACCTCCATTTAACGGATAATATTGCGAGAGTAGTCCGGTATATGGAGGTGTTTCTGTACCCAGATTCTTACAAAAATTTCGTAAACAAATAATATTCCTCGCAAACGAACAAATAAAACACTATCCAAACATGGCATTAACTTCACACAGAGACTATACCTTGGCATACACCATACACCATACACCATACACCGTACACCATACACCATACACTATACACGAGACAAAAAGAACACACATACAATTAATAAATCAACCAATACCTTTACTTTTTTGGAGAGTTTAATTAACCTATGTAATTAAGGTAGAATCTCAGGTAAATTTTAATATCATAATTAGATGGCATTTAAGTTTATATTTAAGCTAATTAATCCTGTTTATTTATATATATTGACTTAGAAGAATAATTAATGCTAGATCGTCTAAAAATATTGTACATTGATTTATATTAAGGATAAAATAATACTGTCTGCTATAGTAAATGTATATAGATAATATAAATTAATGTATATATGTGTGGGAAATATTACGATAAATGAAGGAAATAATAAAAATGTGAAATAAAAATGAAAATGTAAATAATACAAAAGGAAATAGATTCTTAACTCACAATAAAACCAAGGGGATATTTTTTCACTTAATCACCATAATTGTATTAATAAAAAAAAGGTGTCATTAGGATAATCTATTTCACATAATTCACAAATAACAAGAGGGGAAAATATAAGGGTAAAAGAAATATCGAATATATTTCATCAAATTAAATGCAAAACAAATATATTCACCATATGGAAGGAAATATACTTTACAGAGCAGGGAAAAGACCAAAATACCATACGAAAAATAGATGCATTAAAACCCGGATATATTTCACCACATCATACGAAATTGATAAGAGGCATAAGGGTCCCTCAAAAACACACACATATTGTAAAGCATGCGAAAAAGATTATAGCAATTAAGGGTGATAATAGAGTCGATATATTACGTAAAGTAGATAGTAATTCCAGCCTTAGTAACCCGTTTCAGGAGACCATTATAACATTGTGGTAATTAAGAGGTAATTTAAAGTTAATTAGGGTATGGTAATTGAGTGTAATTACCTCCCAATAAATTAATAGGTTACTTATATAATTACCTATAACTAGATCATGTCTATACGGGTGTCTATGTCTATTTATCTATACTATGTCTGTATTTATAGTTAAATCTATGTCTTTATATGTATACGTTATAATTATTTCCCTCCAGGCTTCGAACCCTCGTTATCAGAAACCCAATTAGATCATTAACAATTATAGGCGGTGGTTTAGTGGTAATAATCACTCGTGGCTATTTTGAGGACTTCAGTTCGATGCCTAGACACGTAATAACAGTCACGGTATTATATAGGGACCATAAACATCATAAATGTTTATACTCAAAAACTCTCAAAAATTACAAAATACATAAATAAATATAGCTTTAATGACCTCCTCTTACTGTACCTACTGTATATAGCTGACAGGACTAACAATGATACAGTTAATTACTAAAGTCTATCCACCTCTCATTCCGAACCACGAACCACCGAGATTCACACTTACGAACCCGAAGCATTTATAGACGGAATACTGTATCAATCTACTGCTTTGGGTTCACGAGTCTGAATCTCTCGGGGTTTAGACAGAGAGGTAGATGGACTTTAGTAATTAATTGTACACCTTTACCTGTCAGCGATTAATTCCACACCTTGGGGGTTATTACCAGACCCTGATGTTTCAAGGGAAGACAAAAATATTACTTTATGTTGTTAATAAAAAGTAGAGAAAAAAGGTTAAAAATTAGTATATTCAAGCCACCAAAAAACTATTGAAGATATAGGAAAACAAACTAATGATTCACTTAAAACAGCAAAAAAATCAGAAAAAAACAGCGAGAAAAACACTATAAAAACACCAAGCCAACTGATAAAAAGCAACAATTAAAGAAAACGGGAAATATAATGTAAACTTTTAAAAAAAATGGGAAGCCAAAAACAGGAAAAGAAATATGAAACTATTATTATATTGTTAAATGGAACCTATTATAACTTCTATCATATCAAGTAAGTTATATTGTTTTATTTATTAGTAATTAAAGTGATTAATACATCTCTTCTTGGTATACATGGCCTTATGTATATTACCAAGATACAAGATGGTGATAAGAATGTTTAGTAATAATTATCAGATAAATATTTTCTTGAAATTTTTGGTTGTAATACAAAAATAAATATAGGAATTCTGCTAATTTCTTTTCTTGGGAACCAATTTGTGTTTGTTGACAGAAAACGAGATGGAAGGGGAAACGCAAGCAGTATAGATAGATACTCGTCAGTGTGTGTGTGTGTGTGTGTGTGTGTGTGTGTGTGTGTGTGTGTGTGTGTGTGTGTGTGTGCAGTAAAAAGAGTTTATAGTCATCACGAGAAAGAATTAAAATGACTTCATGTTGTTCAAGACGAGATACATTGTGTACTGTACACTGGACGAGCTGTGCTGAGAGGACACTACAAGCTGGAGTCAGAGGTGGTGATGGTGGCAACATACACACAGGGATATGCTTTACGGGGAGTCAACTCATCAGCAGCTTCAAGGGGGACCTCTGGGGTAGATCATCAACCAAGGGCGAGCATCAAGGGGTAGCAGTAGCAGCCTTTACAGCCCTCAAGGTTTAGATAACGACGGCCTTCCTCATCAACGTTACAACATCACAATGACTCAAGTTGCGATTAAATTTAAGAGGAATATCTGAGGAGAGAGTCAACGTTGTGTACACTGAGGGCTGTAGGGGCAGCGGCCGTACAGCAACACCTACTAAATATTCATCCGTGTTCACTTCTCAGGTCGAGATAATGTTCCATTTCGTATTTGTGATGAACTGACTCTTGTATACAATGAAGAAGAGCTGGCTGGTCGTCGTCGTTGTCGTCGTGGCTGAAGAAGTTGTCGTTGCGATCATTGTCGTTGTCTGAGAGTCAGTCTCGGACATACAGTTTATTGCGAAAGGCAAGAGAGCGAACAGCGAATCAGAACTACAGGCTAAACAAATCAAACCTCTGATTGGTCAGGTTGGTTTTGTTAATAGAGATAAAAGAGGGTCTATTTACATTAGTCTAGAACGGTAATTGGTTGAAAATGTGACGTCAGATGTTAAACTAAAGAATTGATTGGCTAATGGGTTAAATGTGATCTATGATAGGCTTGTGACATTTGTTTCCCGTCTCATAAGGAACGTAATCAAACATTTCTAAGCCTTTATTACAGAAAGGTAAATAGACATGTGTATTTTTCATTTATAGGGGAAGATAAACTAAGATATGATTAATTATTGTGAACAATTAATGGAGATAAGGATAGAAAATGAGATATATACAGTATATATCATTCTTCAACGCCATTGGCTGCAGATGTAACCAATGAGAATATATGTTACGTGATAAGCGACTAGATCCTAAATGAAAGGCGACTCTTAAGCTCAATTTCACTCGAAAAAAAAAAGAACAACGGTTTAAAGCGATTCAAGAGATAAAACAGCACCGATTGTATAATTTTTGTGGAGGAGGAAATGTCCTGCTGAATTCTGCCATGAATCTTTTCTGAACGAGAATTGGAGGTCAACCTGGATCATTTACCTTAATTACGAGAGAAATCTTATTGGTAAAATTTCCTCTTTCTCTCTTCAGCTTCAAGGATGGTGTCTCTAAGGGCAAGAGACAAGGGTAATTGGGTGAAAATAAAGGGTCTTTTTCGGTATAGATCCAGGAGTCTCGTTCCTTAAGTTGCAAATTATGAAAAGAAGGAGTTAGTTACTTGACGTTCCCCCATAGAGCTTCGGAGTGTTGAGTAAGGACACACTCAGGGGCGCTCACGACACACTGTACATACGAGGCTGACTTGGGGAGACCAGACCAAGACAAGGGCAGCGATGGGTCGTTCGCTGTTGTCTCGCTATCTCTTAATATATCAACAAGACAAAGATCAAAACATTCCAGAGAGAGATAGCGATGTCGTTCGTTCGTGGAGTTTGTAAGGGGGGGGGGGGACACGGAAGGTCGAAGTGGGGAGATTTCGGGAGAGTGAGTGAGGGATCAACCATAAAGAAAACTGATTGAGTCTCTCCCGAATCGAAGTAAGGAAACATTACGCTATACGTTTTCTATGATAGGAAAGAAAACGGAAAAGGAAATTGAAGGGGACATGAAAATAAAAAGAATCTAATCGTTTTCTATGGCGGTAAGAAAGGAAAATTAACTTTGGCTGCAACACTAATATAAAAGATATTTACTGTGAAGGATGACAGCTGGTCATTGAGCTACAACTAAACCAACAATCATAACACTCGACTCACTAATGTGCAGCAGAATACAAAACAAAAGATTAGATCAAACTAGTCGCCACAACACGCTACATAAAAATCATTTAGTTTCTGC